ATGGATTTGGGCACCTCAAGGCGGTGTGGAGATTAGCAAGCTTTTCTTGCTAGAACAATTACAACTGAATAGCGAGTTCGATTCTCACTGGGTGCCCCATACTTTTGGCCTTGTGCCACATCCAAGCTACACTTGGAAAATTACAGGGCACCTTGGCATGGTGTAATGGTTAACAAGCTGGTCTTGCTAAAACTGTTACAACTGAATAGTGAGTTCAATCATCATTGGGTGCCCCATACTTTTGGCCATGTGCCACATCTTAGCCTCGATTAGAAAATCAATACTCTCATGGATTTCCATTGGATTTTTCTTCTATGGAATCTGCATTGCACATGAATTCAACACTTGAAAATGATGGTTAAAAAATAAGTACAAGTGTCCTGCAAATTGACATGTCATGCTCTTTCTATTTTACTAAGTGGGTGAGGCAAAGACTCTTTCAGCACCCCATGTAGTAACCTTGTTATATCGGTATGTTTTCATTTGTCTCCACTTTTTAAACTAACATTTGATGCATTTTAAATATTAAAATCATTAGCAATGTATTTACCGTATGAAGTCATATATATCATATATTCCCTAGGCACATTCTCTCTCTTCTCCCTGCCCCACCGATACAAAACCTCTAACCAAGTTGGGAAACTTACAAAAAGAAAAATTTTGATAAAAAGATTATAAAATTTTATGCTTAATCATGAATTTGATTACCACCATAAAATATTGATGGGGGTTTTGTGTTATCTTGCTAAAAGAAGACATCACTACTGGGAAACATTGCAAGTAAAAAGAGTGCAATTATCAAGATAGATATCAGTTTTACAAGAGGTCCTTTTAAACTCCCTATAAGATTATGGAGCCACCACCAACTTGTACAGAATGCTGTCAACAGGCTTGATTCATAGCCTCATGCAGTCTCCTCTGCACACAAATTTGATCATCTGCTTGAATGAGTTGAAAACATGACTCGTCTGACGAGGTGCCAGTCTTCCATGATCAAATAGTGATGTTCTCTGGGCAAGATAAAACACTGTAACTGATAACAGTGTGTCGGTATTGGTTCCCTTATTGTGTTGTAGCATACCTACAGACAATAATGGGTATATCCCCATTCACATAAATACAGTAGTAAATACTGTATGTTGATCTGCAGTTGGAAATTTGTCTCCAGCTGTGCTGATAAAACTTTCTGCCTCTGGGCAGAGAGGGTCCCCAGACGAGGCTATGTCAAAGGACAGTCACATCTCGGGGAAACGGCTACCCAACCACTTTTATATGGGGATCTACGGGGAATTTTTGGTCGAGCCTACAGGTTCGGATACCCCACTTAAATTCAGCCTTGTGCCACATCTGACCGTGAGGAGCAGTTGGTAGATATCCTGCAGTTGGAGATTTATTGAGGAATTCACTTGATTCACTTCTAGCAGTTGACTACATCTTCTATGTGCCACTGGTGAATCTTATGTGTTGTTCTAGTCCTAAGTATTATCGTTCATTACCAACCTTTGTGTGATTATTCTATTCAGTAACCTTCCCTAAATTAAAACAGGTTTCCATCTTTAAAACTCTATGGAATACACCTATGTTATACAGAACATTGACTGATGGGTTGAACAGCCCCCTGCCAAGTTTATGACATGGTGTTAATATTGGTACCATTATCAGTTCACATTTTTGTGTATGCTGTATAGATGAATGGATTGAGTGACACCAACATTGAATTAAGATTCGTTTTAATAAAGTTTTTCTCCTTTGATTGGGTGGTTATCATCCTTGTCAATTTCTGGCAATCCTGTAGATTCCTCTAGTTTTCATGCATCACTTGTCTTTCCAGAATTCACACATTCCTAGTATACCATTACAATGTTGCCTGGGAAATATCCAAAGTGGTTACTATTTACATGATAGTATTCCCCATTTTTCTGGCTTCAACAATCATTCCATGGTCAAATGGTATGAAATTCTGTCCATGTTCTATGGCTGCCATACTACGTCTTTAATGACTGTCATCTGGCTGAGTTCATTTCTATTAATAGGGAAAGGCAAAACCATATCTAATTTTTTTGCATTTCAGTTTTATTTTTTGCCTAAAATGGTCAGTTAAGCCATATAGATTGTAACTTTTTCAAAATAAAAGTTTTTTTTTTTTGTTATTTTAATAAGAATCACCCCAAGCAAGGCAGTAATGCCACTAAAACACAAGGGATTACAAGGTGTAGAAGAATTAGGAACAGAAATATTAATGACAAGCAGAAAGAGAAGAGAGTAATCAGGTGGACAGTAGATAGCAATTGACATTGTATTTAAATTTTTGCAGATTAAAGTTAGCATGGAGCCAGAAGAGAGTTCCCCAAGCGAGAAGTGTGAGAGAAGAAACTGTTAGCATAGAATTTATGGCTACATCTAGCCAGCTCAACTGTAAATTGATGCCAGTCTAGTCATTTTGCTTAAATTAAAAAAACTCTAGGTACCATAGTGAAGAGCTCATCCAAACATTTAGCATGAAAGTATTTATAGAAAAAACATAGAAACAACTTTACAGTAGTGGGAAAGTGACTGGAGCTGAAACACCAGATCAGGACCAATAACATTGCAGATTCTTCTTTGCAACAGACCATTCTAAACATGGACGAATGGTAGTCATAGATATGTAAGATAGATTCTGGAGAGAAAAATTGTCTTGCCTGACATAGTGAACTGACTTTCTTAGCAGCTAACCTAGCAATGGATTCAATATAGTCTTTCCACTAAAATCCAAACTATTACCATGAAAGTATTTATATAAAAGGCAGAGAGATACAACCTTACAGTGGTGGGCAAGTGACTGAAGCTGAACCACCAGATCAGGACCAATAATATTATTGATTCTTCTTTGGATCTTATCAAGTAGCTCAAGGTAAACAGCAATATTCCAAGCATGGAGGAATGGTAGACTTATAGATGTGCAAGATAGATTCTAGAGAGAAAAATTGTCTCACCCAATACAGTGAACAGACTTTCTTAGCAGCTGGCTTAACAATGGATTCAGTATAGTCTTTCCATTTAAAATTGGCAAGCAATCTTTTCCCCCAGTTAACTACAGACTTGAGGTCCTTTTGGACATCAGCTGCCATTTTGACCTTGTCAGACTGATAAGCCTTACTATCAAAGCAGGAGTAAATTATTGCGTTGTAAGTGTAAATGTCATCAGGAAGATCATTAATGAAAATAAAAAACAGAGTAGGACTAAGGATGGCGCCCTGGGTGGGGGGACATCTGCATTAGTATGAAAGGATCTAGACGAGTTGCCATTCAGGGAAATGTTAATGCATTTTAATATTTTAAAAGCTTTCAATTAAAACAAATATTTTGCAAAATTTGACTATTCTTCTGACATTTTATTTTTCTTGTTTCATAAAAACTATTTAAAAAATTTAAAGTTCTTAACTTGATGTAAAATTTGTTTTGTAAAATATTTTTCAGCAATGTTTATCTTTCATGTCTGGAAAAAAAAAAGGTGTGTCAATTCCTTTGACACCACTATTACTGTATACATTTTTGACTCCCTCAGCAATGTTTATTTACAAGATTATAAAAATATGTGAACCAAGTACAATGTGATATTTATTATTTACATTTTATAAAGATTTATTATTTACCATTTTATAAAGAAATAAATTTGAAAATCTTTTTATTCAAAAATTTACAAAAAAGTACAAAATTATGAAAATATGTAAACAAACTACATAGTAATATTTATTATTGACTGTTTTCTAAATAACTGAAGTTTTAAAAAAAATTTTTTGTTATTTAGTCTAATAAATAGTGTTTAACATCTTTGCTGTCATTTCTTAAGAATAAAGCAAATGTATAGATCCATTTTCATATGTTCAGGTTTTATTAAAATTCTAATCATTGCTTTTAAAAACAAACATTGCTGAGGGGAATCAAAAATGTATGCAGTAACAGTGGTTCTGTTGGTTGGGGCTTCAGAATATGCTGACTGCACCTGTGCAGAGGGGTAAGACCCCTCCCAAATGAGGCATCCTGGATAAAATGATAAACTATATCCAACAGCAAGGCCTCTGATCAGGATAATAGCAATACATTTTTGAAAAAATATTACCAGCAATAAAAATTTTGTCAGCATTAAATAACCCATTGAGGTTGATATGCCATAAAAACAAACCAAACTGTTCTTTTCACACATTTTTTTTCTTTTTTTATGGGCATAAAGAAATAATCATTTTTCAGTGGTGTAATAGATTTTCAAAAATGTCAATATGCTGTTTACCTTACCATAAATTAGTAATTAAATGCATGATAATTTGCCGTAAACATTCAATTTTTATTAGCTTATAGCCATATTCCTGTACAATCAGAAAAGTATACAAGTCCTGTTTAGAGCTATTCAGACGTTTTAATATCTTGATAACAACTTGCATAGCCTTGCTGTAACTCGGCAATCCGTCAAGGCCACATTATGTTGAAATACCAGTTCACATATGATCATTGAAGCATAAGAATACCAGGTGTTGTAAGCTTGAATGTGCAAGTAGTGTAATGGATAATGGTTCAAAATTGTTAAACAGAGAGCCAAGTCGCAATTCCCATTAGGTACATTATATTCACTTACATGCAAATACCCTTGGGAAGGGTATGAAGCTACCTCTTCTTCCTTTACAGAAAAGCCATGCAAGTTGTTCTCATGATATTAAAATGTCTGAATAGCTCAAAACAGAACTTGTACACTTCTGATCTGGCTTTAAATAAAAGTTTGAATAATTTAGTCAAATTATAGGTAATGAAGAAACATCATTGTTAGTTTCTCATTTTAGGTCTTTCCAATTTTAAGACACTGAAATTTGAGCTGCTTTGTTTTTCAAAGAAATATACATCAAGTCTTTCACACGGCATACATAATAATTTAACGAAAAGAGAAATTTTAAAATTTGAAATGATTTTCTGTACAACAAAAAGATGCTTGTTACATTTTAAAAAAAAAAAAATTGTTATTTTTCTAGCAATTTCACTTACCGTTGTCAATCACAATGATACACCTGGTCACAAAATTCCTGTTAGCCTGGCTTGTACGTTCCATCTGGCAGTGTAAGACTGGACAACCTCGCATTGAGCTCACCTGGATACCTTACTTAAAACGTGTAGCACCACCTGGTAAGTGTTAACGATTTATTCATCGTTATGTGCAATTTTCATATGAATATCAGTGAGTATAGATTCAGGATCTATATTAGATCTAAATCTTAATTAGGAATTAAGACCAAGAATTTTAAAACGGAGATTTTGTTCATAAATGCAATAGAACCTTTCAAGGCTAACTGTACACACTATATGAAGTAAGCAATTGCTTAAGGTAATGGCTAGCAGATACTTTTCGACATTATCGCATCAAAACTATTTCTGGAGATGCCGTTACTCTGAACTATGCATATATTATTTATTTTATTTTTATTTATTTATTTTTTAAATCAATTCACCCCAAGCAAAGCAATAAGGCCACTAAGATTCAAGATGAGAGCTAAAGAATCTAAGAAAATGTTATTGTAGAGAAAGGAACAGAATTCAAAAAGATTGTGATTGATATAGCATTTAAATTTTTAAAGATTGTAGTTGACAGGAAGCCAAGAAGCTGGAAGAGTTTCATAGGTGAGAAGTGCGAGAAAAACTATTAGAATATAACTTACACTTACTTCTAGCAATTTGAACAGTAAGGATTGAGACCTATCTGCCAATCTAGTACTATGTTTAAATTTATGAAGTCAACATACCAAAGAGGAAAGCTTATCAAAAGAACTGCTGTGAAAATATTTATAGAAAAGGTACAGAGAAGCTACTGTTGTGGGAAAGTGATTGAAATTGAGATGCTGAATCAAGACTGTTAACATAGCAGAATCTCTTTTCTTTTTTTTTTTTTTTTTGACAAGAATCTCTAAATACATTGAAGAAGCACTAGACTAGATGTAGCAACAATATTTAATGCACAGATGAATGGTTGACTTATAAATGAGCAAGATAGAATTCTGACATGAAAAATTATCTAACACAATGCAGTTAGCCAACTTTCCTAGCAGCAGACTTAGCAATTGATTCAATAAAATTACAGCTCCCAATTATATACTAATGATTTTCTACAGAATCCCACTCTTCACCATAGGACAGCAAGACAAGCAAATCAAAACAACAAAGATACCATTAAAAATTAGAAAAAAAACACTCTTGATTTCTGGTTATCTCTTTATAATTTTCAGAAATTTTGATTTTGGGCGACCATAGCTCTCCATAACTTCCTATCCTTTTTAGCTCTTAGTAAGGTTTATCTTTTCCCTATCCTTCTCAGTCTCTGTTCTGCTATACATTAAAACAAGCTTGTTAGATAGGTAACTTGTTTAAATTCTGTCCCTCTTGCTTTCTATATATACTGTGAGTGTCAAACTCTCCAATCCCTCTTTCCTCATTATGTGTCCTAGAAATTTCAACTATCTCTGATTCTAAGTGTGCGTCCTTTTTATTTCCATTTTCCTTAAAACTTTCTAGTTATTTACATGTTCGGTACATGCTATTTTCCGCATCTTTCTATAGAACCAAATTTCTGTTGCCTCAAATCTCTTTTTCATTTGTAAGCAGATTGTGCATTCACTGCCATATATGATGACTGATATTACATAACAGTTCAGCACTGTTTTCTTTGTTTCTACCAAAATTTTCAGGTTAATACTTTTGGAAAAGATCTTTCGCTATTCCAATGTGCCTTCAGATTTCAGTGTCACATTCAGGGCTTTAGAGTGGGAACACAAAACCTCCAACTCCTTTATTTTTGGCACCTCCAACTCTAACTCCTCTTTATGTGATTAAGTGATTATGGCCCACAAATCTCATAAAGCCTATGCATACGCTCCTAGCTTGAGTAGGCCTATATAATTTTAACTGGTTTATATCAAAGAATAAAGATACTGTGGCTTTTAGATCATATCTTTTCATTCTTCCGTATTTTCTAACAGAATTAGATCTTTGAAAGGGAAGAAATGAAAATAAAAATAAAAATTTTATAATGTAAGACTTTTTACATATATACATCTTTGCAAATAAGAAATAAGTACAGAACAAAAATAAAACTACTTTATAACAGAATTTGAAATATAATCTTTTACGGGATTGCTCCGAGGAGCTGCATTCACTGGTTCCCAGACTTCATGAATTCAAGCGTCCTACGAGGCTGGCATCCCGCTCTCACCCTTTCACTGTCAAAACTACTAAATGTAGCTGTCTCTTCTACTCCAATAGCTTCATGTCTCGCACCTCTTTCCTGTGGAACTCCCTTCCCTATTCCAGTTTCCCTGAGAGCTATAATCTCCAACTATTCAAATGTAATGTCAATTGACATCTCCAGTTGCCTTGATCTATCCACTATCCTTCTCCTCATCCTTTCCTCTATCACTCCTATCTGATCTTGCTCCAAATCTTCTGTAACCCCTTGCATCCTAGTGGCTCCCCGCCTTGCTTGGAGTGAATCGATTAAAAAAAAATAAATAAATAAATAAATAATAAAAAATAAAAAAATAAAATAAAAATTCTATAATGTAAGATATTTTTTTACATATATAGTTTTGCAAATACAAAATAACTACAAAAAATAAAGTGACTTTAAAAAAGAAGTTGAGATGAATTTCTTTAAAGGAAATAGTGAATATACAGTAGAAGAAATAACAATGAAAATTAAAAATTCTTTAATGTAAGACTTTTTTTTACATAAATTGTAAGTTCAACTGGAGTAGGTAAAACTATACTGATTCTGACTCCAACTCCACAGCCCTGGTCACTTTTTTTATTTTTTTTTATTTTTAGTGCTCTATTTAAATACTTCCCAGATATTTCAATTTTTGTATTTGTTTAATTTTGGCATCTCCAATTTTGTAATTCACATCTTGGGCTGTTCACCTTTTTGACAACCATACATTCTGTCTTCTTACAATTGATGTTTAGTCCTTTCTTCCTGCTTTCTTTTATTATCTTCTAATGGTTGCTGCACTTTCCTTTCTGTGTCTGCTATCAACACTGTGTCATCTACATATCCTATGTTGTTAAGATTGTGTCTACCAATAATGAATCCTGGTAGGACTTCTAGATCTCTCAGGATCATTGACTTAGGACAGTGGTGGCATCCTACCATTTTGCACCAGTTCATGTGAATTGATTCTTAAAAATATAAAAGATTAGCGAACTGGTTGTTGGTAAATAATCTTGTATATTAATAGTCGATATATAATAGCTAAGAACATAATTAATACCATTGCTGTAAGTTCTGTGGAGACTGAAACAGGGTTTTCTGTGATGAACATAATTTATTCTGACAAGAGAAATTGTCTTGAAGTTAAAAATGTGGCAAGTTTCCTAGTTATAAATTTGATAGGTTTTCCATTGAATCTTTGGGATGGCAGCAATTCAGTTGAAATGTGGCTAAGAAACAATAACAAAGCTGATGATACTTGAGTCAAAAATATGAGAACAGAATTTCAATCTGGAAATACCATAAGAAATGTTTTCTATTAAATTATGAAAATGGTTTAATTCTTTTTGATACTATAAAGTGATTTATATCCATTCTCAGATTGAAAAGAAAATAAGCAGAACAGTTCCCTAAAGATTACCTGCCATTATAGAACTGGTTCCCAGAAATTCTGGATGCTATTATTGCTTATAAGGCCTGAGTCTCACCCATGGTATGGTATTCAGACACTTTCAAACAGTATGCTGGGGTCATCTCCCCAGGAGGATATTATCCAGACATCACCTCCTTGACAAATTGACCATAGCAAGATTTGAACTGGAGTCATATAGTAGCAATGCTAACATTATAAACACTTAGCAATAAGCACACACACACACACACACATATATATATATATATATAAATATATATATATATATATATATATATATATATATATAAATATAAAGTAATGATATCATTCATTTTCTTATGAGTCAACCCATCATAAATATTTGAATTCCATTCAATATCTCTTTCTGTGATGACAAAAGAAATCATGTTGAAATTAAAAAAAAGTGGAAAATCTTCTACTCATAAATTTGATAAGTCTTCCATTGGATCTCTGGAATGGCAGTGATTTAGTTCAAATGTGGCTAAGAAACCAGCCGATGACATTAGAGTCAAAAAACATAGTTCTGAACAGAAATATAGCAGAATTTCTATCTGGAAATATCTTAATAAATTGTCAAAATGTTTTAATTCTTTTTGATACTATAACGTGATTTATTTCCATTCCAAAATTGAAAAGAAAATAAACAGTATTGGTTCCTAAAGATTACCTGCTTTTATAGAACTGGTTCCTAGAAATTTGGGATAAATATCTTCCATAGATACCACCTTAGCTAAACTAGCCACAAGCCTCTGACTGGACAAGGTGTAAATTTACAGCCATATTGTCAATTAACTATATCCTAGTACAATTTTTTAGGTACCCATATTCAGAGAACTTACTACAATTACTTAGTTACTTATTTTAGTGCATCATTTTTACTTACAATTATTGCCACATGATGCAAACAATTTAGCCATAAATAATACTTTCTCCAGGTAAATGAGAACAGATTCATCTTGTGTTTTTTTTCTTTCACTTTTTTTTTTTTTTATTCTTCAATTAAAAGTATGGGGTACCCATCCTTTGGTGGCCACTTCAATGCATGGTAACAGATTGATTCATAGAACATAACAATGAGTTGAAACAAAGGACTTTTAAAGGATTATGAGGCAAGTGCTTGACTCAAAGAGAATAGCCAACTGGAATATTTTCAGTCTCATAAGGTTTCAGTTCACTTTCTGCCCATGGTTATGGCAAAACTTAATAAAATGTTTGAACAAGGAATATTAGAGAAGGTCAGCCAGGGAAGTAACAATTGGGTTTCTCCAATCATGGCCATCTGCAAAAACAATGGATATTTAATGATTTGTGGTAACTACAAAGTTGGTGTAAATCACCAGATATGTTTGGATGCCTTCCTATTATCAAATATTGAAATGGCCTATCACAAGTTTGCTGGCATTAAATTTTTTGCCAAGATTGACCTAGAATCCGCATATAATCAGATTAAAATTGATAACCATTTTCAAGAAGTCACCATGATATATGCTCCTA